GCTTCAAATTTGGCAGAAACATTAGCACTAAGATTGGTATTGAAATTGAGCGAAGGCCACGATCACAGTGCAACATAATCTGATACCGCAAAAATTCAAAAAAAAATGTTTTCAAAACAAAAATAATTCAGTTTTTCGCCCGTTACTACCACAGCCTGTAACGATAACAAATTGCGCATATATGTAAGGGTGGTCCTGAAACATCTATGCAGAAATTGAAAAAATCGCCCACTCCCACCTAAAATTATAATGAATTTTTCGTCAGTTTTTTTATGTTTTCTCCCTATTACTCATTAGATGAACAAGTGCCATTCCTCATATGAAAATATATAATATGTGTGTAAAGATATGTTAATGATGGACTCAACAAAGTGGATATAATCAATATGGATATCAGATAAAAGAACTTGAAGAGTAGAATGTGGCATAAAACGCATACTTTATCGACAACTGTGAAAGAAGCACAAACGGGCCCTGCTTCAACAGCATATTTATCTATAGACCCTTTTTTTCTATTAAATGATTACCAATAGCTTTAAATTAATTGAATTATATATATTTAATACCTGTGTATCATTTAAAATTTCCAGATGTTCACCTTTACGGAAACTTAAATCTTCGTCTGTGCGGGCATCGTAGTCGTATAAGGCCACAAAAATTTTTGCATTTGCACTGGAAGTCTCATTTTCGGGTATTTGTGGAACGGGACGTATTTGTTCTTGTGGCTGACCGATAGGTAATGAAATTTGTTGAACGCCCGCAACGCCAACGGCAACCGGATCGTCCAATGGATTACGCTGGTCGACATGGCTTTTGTCAATATCTGGTTTCTCTGTACGTAAACAGTTGCCCATTATGGATTTTTGAAAAACTTGTTGTTTGCGCGCAAATATTATCAACGAGAGCAATAGATGTGTGTTTTAACAGAAATAATGAATTTTATAGCGCTCTTCTTGGCAATTAAATAAAACTTTTGCTATTCTGATTTTGATAATTAATGCTGATGCGGTACGATTAATACAGAAATGGCTACACTCCTTAATATTATAATATGGATTAAATTTTTTTTCTTTTTTTTTTTACTATTTCCATAAGTTCGTCTCACAAAAAAAAAAACAACAACAAAAAGATTACATTATTAGTCTTTTTGATTTAATTGCAAATGTACATGGATATCTATGACGGTAGTGTGATAATGAAGCCCAAAGTGAAATGCTTTACGGTAGCGCAGGAAAAGGGTGTTGGCACTTTTTTTTTTGTAACTTTAGTTTTTAGTCAATTGAAACATGATTTCTCTATTTTGTTATCATACACTCCTTCTTGTTGAATTTTGTTTCTTTTCTGATCTGTGCATATACATATGTATATATTTATATATATATATATAGGTATATAGCTATGTTACACCTACATATGCGCACATACCTATATATATATATATATATATATATATATTCACATATATTCAAATACATTTTGAATATTAAAGGCAGGACAATTTAGAAGGTTGAAGCAGTAGTAACATGAATATTATTTATTTCATGTCTAAGCCCAGCATATAAAGCTTAAGGAAAAATTTTGATGCAAACAGATTTTACAAAACAATTTCATTTTAATGGTAAACAATGGCAGAAGAGTGAAAATTCGAATGAATGAAACTTTGACATAGCCAGAAAACGAGACATAATTCAAAAAAAAAAGAAAAAAAGAGTTTTAGGGAACAAGCTGAACTAGTCGTAAAAGCAACAAAAAGTTACAACAAATTTATTAAATTACATATTCACAATAGGAAAAAACTTGTAGGCACCAAATCAAGTTGTAAAGTAATTAAAAAATGGTTACCACAAGCAGAGCATATCTTGTAAATAGTTTATTTAACACGATACTTTAACATACATGTCCAATTTTAAAATATTAACAGAGAGAGTAAGATGAACGAATAAGTGAAAGAAATTTTGGAGTAGTTTTTCCTTTAACTCTACCGTGCCACAAAATGTAATGCATCAGCCTTTTTTACATACGATATTGGATACACATTATGTTTTATATTGCGTATTGATAAACATTTTTAATAAATGCATTCTTTTTATTTATTTATTTATTTAAAACATATTCACAATATTCAAATATTTGAATTTTTATTTATATTAATTTCTTAAACGTCTTGCCTGACATAAATTTGCTAGTTTCTCTATTTAGTCATAATTTTTTTTTATCATGTTTTCCTTTTTGTATTCTTTCCATAAACTCTTTTTTTATTTTTCTTTTTGTATTTAGACACATACACTGCACACATACATATTTTTAACAAAAATTAAAACACTCCTTTCTACAAGTCGACCATGTTCTCGTTTTTCATATTTTTACTCACAGTTAAAACGAAATTGAAAAAATTAATTTTGTTTTTTATTTATGCATTTGCTTTTTTATATTCTGATTTTAAATAATTTAATATATTTTAATGAAAATTTGGCCATTTCTGTGCAGAAATTGTCACAGCACACACACAATACTACTAACAACAATTAGATGAATTAGATGAATGATTGTGAATGATTAAAAGATGAGAGAAAAAAGCGAAAAGATTTATTATTCCTGTATTTCTTTCTCTCTTTTCTTTAATAATAGAGCAATCGGAAATTTCTCTGAGAGCAAAAAGCAAATTTTATAGTAGCAATGCCAACAATCCCTTGGTAGTATCACGTAATCCCCTAACGCTGCGTACTTTTTGCGTATTTTGAATGCTCTGGCTACTTATTTTTCTGATGATTAAACGAAAGTAATTACTTTTTGAACACTTTCAATTCCTTCTTGCATATAGGTTAAGCTCAAACACAATACTTGCATTATCCGCTCTAAGAAACACATAGTGAACACATAGCTTGCTTGCGTTGCTAAAGCAAAATCATATGACGAGCACTTGTTTACACAAATGTTAATGAGGTGTAAAAATTAAAAAATTTCTTTGAGAAACGATTTTTTTAAGCAAAGCACTTTAGTTCAAATTTCGTATTCGAAATGTAAATAGCCGTTTTAAAATCATATTGAGCTTGAAACAAGAACCATATGATTTTATTTTGTCTTGAAGAAAATACATCATTATTTGCATTGTCGTAAGCCACGCACGAAAAAATTTTGGAAATTTGCAAAAATTTGCGTTCACGCACAACGCAATGCAAGTTATATGTATATATACAATCAATCTTTTGATATTCCATGCGAATTTCGCAATCATTGTATTGCGCTTTAGGAGCGTTTCTAGGAGAAAGACAAAAGTATGGGTTTTTCATATATGAGACTAAGAATAGCGATTCTATTATTAAATTTAAATGATTTGAACGTTTTCAATGCCTGTGAACTCTACCTAAAGAGGAATTTTTTCTTTAATTGGACAAATAGTGGAAGAGAGAATATAAAACAATTCATTAAACAAGACTAACGTCTTTACTAAAGTCCTGATAAGACCTTCTATTGTACATACATTTCTGAACTTTATCTTAGGGGTTCTTCAACTAGCAAGAATTAAAACTAGAACTAACCAGTGGGTTATTTAGATCCTTTTTAGCTTTCGATCTTCAAAAAAACACTTATACAGCATACCTTGCTCCAAACAATTTTTGATGACTGTCATTTGGACGAAAAGAATTTTAAATAACTGTAATCACTTTTTTCCTACGTGGTCGGGTTTTTAAGATGCCGATAATATGTATGCATTTCTGACAAAAGGAGTCATTTCAGTATCCTATTTTTAAAAGCAAGAAGAACCTACAAGTTGCTGTAGACATAGGTTGCGATAAATGCAAGGCTAATGTAAATGCATCCGCAACATGAAAGAAACTGGAACTACCTCGCAAAAAGTCGAAATATTCTTTTTATTTTTGCCTGTAACTGTCAACCCCTTAAAGGTAAGTCTAAAAGCCTGTAACCCAAATGTTTTGCGCGAAAATAGTCGCGATTGATTTATTAATACGACCACAATTTACGACAAAATTTTAATTCAAATTTATTTGGAATTTTTTTTTCCATTTATTCATAATACCAATAATTAGCACTATTCCATTGCAAATAAATCTGTACATCGCTAATTCTGTACGTATTACCAAGCCTATTGGTGTCATTTTCGGTTGAAACATGCAGAAGGACTTGAGGAGCATTTAGATGAGAGGTTTCTCGAAATATCTTTGCAATATCGACGCCACTATGAAAAACTTATCCCTTTTTTCAAGGTTGCCTTAGTCTCACATTTATAATGGGCATGTATATAGGCAGATTGCAACGCTTTTTTGACATGAGATTCTCAATTGATCAAGGTATGTTTGCGGCCTATTTCAGCTTTGTAGCTACCGATCAAAATGATGTATTTTGGTAAAAATGTATGCGCAAAACATCATCAGTTCTAGTTAAACAAAACCTGGTGCATTTATTAACATTGTGATAAGACCGTTTGACATGGACACATTTATAAAGTTTGTTGAACTGGCATGAATTAAGCAGTTCCATAAAAATTTAAACTTTAAAATTTTCATTTTGTTCATTCTTGCAGTACATTTTGTACCATTTGCAGTAGGGGAAATTAGTTCTACTTCTAGAACCCACAATTGTCAAAACGGTATTCCACAATATATACTTAGCAAAATGCACTTGATATAGTTGACGTTGTACTACAGCAATTTTTCTTTTGAATAAAATATATCAGCTGTTGCTGTATTGATTTGCTTGTAAACAAGTCATTCCATTCATTCAATCGCCAATTTTCTGCTTGAACGACCTACGAAATTTAAAAATATCTTTGTTTATATCGTAAACGCTTATTATGGCTGCTTGTTTACGAAGTATTGGAAAAGGCATGTAAAGTAAACAAATCCCAAGCAGAATGAGAATTAGATAAAAGAATAAAGAAAAATAAAATTGAAAAATTTGCATAGTTTATTTTTCCATCGGTAACTAAAGTGTTTTTTTATCAGTGGTTTTCTATTATATAAATATAAAATTCTTTACGATATAATTCTTATAAACGATATAATTCTTGTAAAAAATCGAATTAACCAATTGTTATTGATTTTTAAAATTTTGACACGGAAGTGAAGTTGGATTCGACAGCACAAGTGTTTTATATGAATTGAAAGTTCACATATTTAGTATGTTTAAAAATATTTGTCGTTCACACACAAATAATTTGATAAGAACGAGAATATTTGGTAATGTTCAACATTTAATTCGTAGCACCAGCAGTCTATGTATATCTACATCAACTCCGTTAATTCATCATCATAGTTACAGTTCGCCAATTCAGTTAAATTTAACGTAAGTTAAAAACAATTAAAACGGAAAGTGAAAATAAAATAATTGCTTTCAAGTCAGTTACAGTAATGGATTTTTTTTTTTTTTTGCTTATCAAAAACCGTAGTCACCTTTGGAGCAAAAACGATAGAATACGCAGCATGTCTAGTGACGATACAAAAACTGGTGAATTGCCATCGACTAGTGCTTTTGAAGTAAAAAGGCATATATTTACAAATCGCTTAGCTCAAGAAAAATCTCCTTATCTCCTGCAACATGCTCACAATCCAGTTGATTGGTATCCATGGGGCGATGAAGCCATTGAGAAGGCGAAACGTGAGAACAAATTAATCTTTTTATCTGTTGGTTATTCGACTTGCCACTGGTGCCACGTTATGGAGCATGAATCTTTCGAAAATGAAGCGGTAGCCGACATTATGAATAAGAACTTTGTTAATATAAAAGTGGATCGTGAAGAGAGGCCAGACATCGATCGCATCTACATGCAATTTGTACTAATGATGAATGGCAGTGGAGGATGGCCTATGAGTGTTTGGTTAACTCCGGACCTGGCTCCAATTACTGCGGGGACTTATTTCCCACCAAATGATCGGTTGATTTTTTTTCGCTCTTTTTTTTTAACAATTAAAAAGACTCAAACTTTTCTCCGAGTGAAAAGAAAGCAATGTAATATAAAATAATAGGACAAGCATTTTGCAACAATTAGTTCAAGCTCGGAATCAAGACAGTTTAGATCGATTTATTATTTGAAACTTTATTGCATTCTTACAAAATATTTTTCTTTTAATACAGAATTGTTTGAGTTTTTTCGGAAGTAATGAATACATTGAACATTTCCTTATAAAAAAGCTCCAACAGCAATGTTATCAAGTCTCGTTTATTATCTAGCTGGGGTATGCCCTCATTTACCAATGTTCTGACAACGATAGCGGATAAATGGAACAAAAATCAAGCCGAATTGATAGCTACCGGACTAGAAGTGATCGAAGTGCTTCAGCGGACTCTAAGTGAAAAGACATCGGAGGCGACCTTTGAGGAGGGCAGTTCGCAAGCTAAAGTCGCTGAAACTTTGCGCATTTTTGAACTCCGTTTTGATGAGGAATATGGTGGTTTTGGTTCACACCCGAAATTTCCTAAAGTGCCGCGTCTTAATTTTCTTTTCCACGCCTATATCGTAAGCAAACAGAAAATTGCTTTAGATATGGCATTGCAAACGTTGCGTTGCCTGGGAAAAGGTGGCATTCATGATCACATTTTCGGGGGATTTGCTCGCTACTCAGTTGATCGCAAGTGGCATGTACCGCACTTTGAAAAGATGATTTATGACCAGGGCCAGTTAATGGCAGTTTATGCTGATGCTTACAAAGTGACCCGCGATAATTCCTTTCTTGATTATGCTGATGGGATCTATAATTATACGAATGCAGACTTACGACATCCACTCGGTGGCTTTTACGCGGGCGAAGATGCCGATTCTTTACCAAGCGCAAATGCAACGAAAAAAATTGAAGGTGCTTTCTACGCTTGGACATTCGATGAAATAAAACAATGCATAAATGACAACAAAGAGTTACTCGTAGACTGCGAGAAAGGAGACGTGGAAAAGATTTTCAATATCTACGCCCATCATTACGATCTGCGTGAAAATGGTAACGTTGAACCTACCAGTGATCCTCACGGCCATTTGACGGGCAAAAACATATTATTTGTCGGAGGTTCCATTGAGAAAACGTGTGAAAAATTTGCTCTGGAGAAGGACAATCTTAAACGATTGCTAACGCTTGTTAATAAGATGCTCCTTGAGAAGAGAAAGCAGCGTCCACGGCCACATCTTGACACAAAAATCATTTGTTCTTGGAATGGCTTAGTCTTGACTGGTTTGTCGAAATTGGCGGATTGCGATAGTGGAAGGCGAAAGGAATACCTGTCAACAGCTGCACGACTAAAGGAATTTTTATACACTCATCTTTATGATAAAGAAACAAAAACTTTACAACGGTCCTGTTATGGCTTAGGGACAAACGACGAGAGTATATTACAGCATGTAGAGTATGTATGATTTAATGAATAAGTTTGAAAAGTTTACCAACCCATCTATATTCCTCTAGAAAGGAACGCATTGAAGGCTTTCTGGATGATTATGCGTTTCTAATCAGAGGCTTGTTGGATTTTTACAAAACCAGCTTAGATGGAACGGCTCTAAAATGGGCCAAAGAGTTGCAAGAAACACAAGATTCACTGTTTTGGGATAATGATAATGGAGCGTATTTTTACTCTCAAGCCAATTCACCGAATGTAGTAGTGCGCTTGAAAGATGGTCGGTATTTCATTTTAAGTTTCATTTAAAAAAAACAATATAACCGAATATTCTCCTCTTATGAATAACAGATCATGACGGTGCCGAACCAAGCGGCAATAGTATGGCAGCCTATAATCTTCTTTTACTGGCTCAATATTATAATGACGAGAACTATAGCAAACGTGTCGTACGTATGTTTGAATTTTTTGCCGATCAAAAACCATTCGGTTATGTTTTACCGGAAATGCTATCATCTATGATGCTTCAAGATAACGGCTTAGATTTAGTCGCTGTAGGTCCTAAAATGGAGTTAACACAAAAGTTCGCAGAGATATCACGTAAATACTATATACCTGGCATGGTCTTAGCTGAGATTGATCCACAGGAACCAGAAATGCAAGTTTACAACCAATGTATTTTAGATAAATACAAAATGATTGATGCACACCCAACTGCATATTTATGCCATGGGGGAGTATGTCGCATGCCCATTACAGATCCAGCTAAGTTGGAGGATGAACTCTCACAGATTTTTCTTAGAATACCCAATAATCAGTCACTTTAAACACCTAGGGTTTATTGAATTGGACTCGATATGCTTTCTCTAAACGCTATTTTTGGATGTAGATATTATACTGCGATATAAATTTTTTAAGTCTTTGAGCAATAAAAATCCATTGTTAAGATTTCTGGTTGATGAGAAAATAAAAATAACAAAATATACATAAATCAGATTCCAAAAGAAATCAAGAAAGATATGTTTGCTTTGCACCGAAAACGTTTCGGATAATTGTGTATTAGGTTTCACGTAATTCCTCAAGATGTGCTAAGACAGATGAGAATTTGCAATGGCTCGATAGTGAAAGCGACATTTCAACATTTTCAACATTGTTTGTGCTTGGATCCAAAACATGTCAAAATGCCAATTTCATCAAAATATCTCAAAACTTTCGACTTCTGGGTTGAACAGAAATCGAGATAAGCGGACGGACATTGAAAGTTGAATCTGAATCAATCGATATGACAGTATAGTATGGTGGGTTTACTCCAAGTCCTTCTGGGTATTGCACGCATCCACCGCAAATACCACAAGTGTTTTATGTTCTTTAACCGAGTTTTTAAAGGAAAATATTTCTTAACTCTGTGTTGACTTTATTTGAAGATATCAGAGAAAAGTGCAAACCAGCGTGGAAAAGATTGTTTATGTTACACGTAGCGCAACTGCAAAGACATGGTGGTTACACGAAATCTGGTAATTAAACAGAAAGCTTGTCCTAGGAAATTTCCCACTTTAACAGTTCGAAACCACGCCGCAATGTTCTGGTGTCACATCTGCTTCTAAACTTTCGCTGAACGTTTTTGCGATAATTGGATGATTCCAACGTTACCAGTGGAGACTTATGATCTTTTATTAATACTTACGCTTTCACAAGATCGGCATGAATAAGTTAGAAGCTTAGAAAAACAAAGTATTTTGACCTAAAAGTAGTTTAGAAATCAAGTAAAACACGCAAATCCTGTAAAAAGAAAATTGCTCTTTACAGCCCCTTCTTCATGATTAGCTTCGTTTCGTCATCAATCAACACGGTGGTATACATTTTTTATGGCACACATTATCCATGCGATTATATATAAACTTCATTCTGACATCATTTCAATTTCCATTTCTTGCATTAATTGTAATTTCGCCTGATCTCCTGTGCTTAGTATAGACATATTCTCCGGGATCTTAGTGTTCTGACATCTGAAAATGAAAATTGATATATTGTGTAAATATGTATATACAACATTAAGTACATTACCACCCACTTTAGTTAATTCTTATCAAGCGTTGTCAATTGTTTTGAATGGCTGGCTCCCCTTTAGGCCAAGATCATTACAAATCTGACATAAAACTATAGTAACATTTACAATAATAATAATAAATAACTAAATATAAGCTCCGTTTATAATACATAAGTTCATTAAAAATACATATAAATACATCAGGATTACTGCTGCGTGATGATATGTACAAAAGAAAAATATTGTGGTTACTAAATTTTATATATGACTTTTTGGATTTTAATTTTTTCTCCTTTCACATGTTTCTTTTCTTTTTTCATGTTTTTCATTCAAATTTCTATACCCCCCACATTGATTTGTAATCAATTTCAGTCGAAATATTTGAGCAGCAAGAGAAAGACGGGTAAAATATATTTACTTGATCATAAAGTAGATTGAAGCTCCTTTCGCTTGATATATTTTACAAATTTTTTTTAAATTTAATCATCAGCGAGCGTACCCCCCTGGCCTTTATTACTTGTAATCAATTTTTATTTTTTTTTTTTAGAACTTATTGAACATTTGCATAAGTAGTCGAGACTTACAGCAACAAGTATACCGTCATTCTTGTATAAGAATACAAGAATGGCGCACACTTGTTGTATGCCGCCAATATGAAGAGATGTAAATCAAAGTAGTACAAAAAATTAAGAAGGTAGTTATTTAGATGCATTACAGATTCATATTTCATTAAATTTTGTTTTTGCCAAAAAAGTTTATCAAAAATAAAACTTGTTATTCAAAATGATAGAGTACGATCATTAAGATCATTATTCACGATGTTTCAATTAAGAAATTAAAAGAAATTCTTACAAAAAGTAGTGAGATCTTATTTTCACCATTATTCGTACTTATTCGAAGCGACTCTGTGTTCTCTCAATTCTCCATAGATCCTTTTTTTTTGGATACGGTGTTAAAAAAAACCAGCTAACGGCTTTTAACGAGAAATGAAAAGTAGTTTAACAAAGTAAAATATTGCGAAAAAAGATT